AATATAAGTCCAAAATATAGGTACGTATCAGCTCCCACGTCGATTAGTTTGAAAACCTTCTCACTGTACATAGCACATGCCTCAACCAATCCCTTAGATTTAGGAATCTTTTTTTTTCTTAACAGAACGATCGATACCTATTGTTTTTTCTATGTACATATGCATTCCATCGAGTCTGGCACGCGTATCTCCGTAGCTTTGTTTCTCTCCCTCTCTTTCACGCAAGACTCCATGGACAACTGCAACTCATCTTCCATGCCCAAGGAGAAGACAAAGCAAGCAATCTCGCTTCCAATGGACAAGGACACGAAGACGGCGACCTGTTAGTCCTAGGCGAGCTCGCCCACGTAACTACAGTGCGTCCTCCCTGCTGGCGCCCACGCCACGAGCGCCGACCATGGCGCTGTTGACGATGGACCGCACCCGGTGCGCAAGACCATGGCGACCACCGAGCAGCGGGCCACCGAGTCCTTCACGGACGTCAAGGACATGGCCGTGTCCGTGACGTGCTTGTCCCGCGTCGCCGTGACCACCTAGTCCGGCATGGCCATCCCCTTCTTCTCCACCGTTGCCATACGACTCTGTCACTTCTACCTCTGTCAAGATAGCAAATCCGAATTATGCACAGATCGCGAAACGAATGAAGAATCGATTGCAGAAACGATGAATCAAAGTGGGAAAACCTCGTTCAAGCCACTCGTAGTCGTAGTTCAACTCGGCAGCATCCTCCTCCGCCTCGTCGCCGAGGGCATCCCAGTTGATCCACTCGGAGCGGCGACCAGCCATTAGAGATGTCGAGCTTGAGCGGGAGACTGGTGAGATAGCGATGGGGAGGGGGGAATTTATAGCTCCAGGGTCGTTGTTTACAAAACGAAAATTTTTTATCATTGGCGCCATTGTGATTCCCTCCTCTGCTGGAATTTTTGGATGAGCCAAAAAATTCCATCGCTTTTCAACTTGCCGAGGCTTTTCCCTCTGCATGCCGCGCGGGAGAGAGAGGAGAATAACTCGCTTCGTCGCTCGCGGGAAACGTAGGCGGTGGGACCAGCGAGGAAGAGGGGAAACCGATCGGGGGAGAGAGAGAGGATTGTGGGGTTTGTTACAGTTTGTTAGGAAGCAATCTGATTGGGAGAGAGAAGATGGCCTGATTTTTCCTTTTTTCCCTCGGTCTCACATCCTTGCCCAAGCCGTGCGTTAATATTGGTGCTAAAACTATATGGCTTATATTCAGGAACAGAGGGAGTACTAGATAAAAACATGGAGATCAATTTAAAATACATATTTCGGTTGTTATTTAAAAAAAAATTGGCACATCCGTAGTGCATACAAATATATACTCACGTGTAAAAGTTGGGATGTAAACTCAAATTAGAAAAATTCATACAAAAATGACATCGCAGGGATTTTATTTTTTTAGTGCACACACCTGAAATTTGTCATTTTCGCTGGATTTTTTCAAAAATGTGTTTGCATCCAAAATTTTACATGTGAGTACATATTTGTATGCACTACGAATCTACTAAATTTTAGATTTTTTAAACAACCAAAATATATTTTTCTTGATTTAGTTTCCATGTTTTGACCAAATAGGTGGATTCCACCATATATTTTGCCCCAATACATTGTGTAGCAACTGATGTATTCAAACCAAGCTCTAGAAAGACAAGTGGCTTGGAAACTTCACTCTGGAAGAATAATACCCATCTTTATACAATATTATATAAGGGAAAACATATATCAACAGCCGATGCTTTTAGTTCTACACCGTTTAACATTTCCTTCCGAAGAGCTCTAGGGGAAAATCTACTTAAATAGAATGAATTAGTGGCTAATATTGCATTTGTTCAGGTGGATGATCAACAAGATTCCATTAAGTGGAGCCTTATGAAACAAAAGATCTTTCACAGTGAAATCAATGTATAAACACTTAATTAATCAAATTTCCATGACTTTAAACAAGTTGTTATGGAAGCTACAATTAATACTTAAAATCAAAATATTTATCTGGTTCTTGATAAAAGGGGAAATTTTAATAAAATATAGCTTACTAAAATGAAATTGGAAAGGATACGATAGATGTTTTTGTGACAATAAAAAAATATTCAGCATTTGTTCTTTGATTATCAAGTTGCTAGATTTGTTTGGAGAGTCTGTGAAGTGGCATTAATCTCAAACAACAAAAAGACGTATCTGATTTATTTGGGGTGTGGGATGTACAGGTAGACCAACACTTGCGCTCTCTGATTTGTGTAGGGGCAAGTGCAATCTTTTGATCTATTTGGCTATTTAGAAATATTAGGATTTCTGATAAAAAATGACTATACTCTTATTTGCATGTTGTTTTGAGGACAAATTATTGGACACATTTCTGGGACGCTGTGCATAAGAAGAACGACATGCCATTTTTGAAGTGGGCATGTCGCACGATGGAGACCATGGCCATGAAAATATTCGACAAGCATGGATAGTTGTTGTTTAAGAGGTTTAGCATTTATCAATCATACCTTTGTTTGGCTTTGATTTTTGAGAGTTTTTTTTTAAATAGCAGGAGGCTTTAACTGTAGTAAGGATTGGTTATACGCAAAACTCTTGCTGAGATCAGAATAAACTTCCTTTTCCAAAACTTTTTTGTGTTGTGTGTTCTTAAGGGACACAGTAAGGACTACTTTGGATGTTATAGCTTTGGAACCTCCAGATGAGAAAAATGATGGTTTATGGAAAAAAATAGTTGAAGGTGGAGTTTCTAAAACTCTAAAATAATACTCCTTGAGTTTTTTTACAAAGTCATGAATTTTTTAAAAAATTCTAAAAATATTTTGCATCCAAACATAATCTAAGTGTATGCTTATATGCACGGATACTAACAACCTATGAATGATTGAGTAGGCCCTGTTTGGTTCTGTGTCAACAACGCGTTTCAGTGAAGAAAGCGGAAAAATCCTGCCGAACGGTCTGCATTGGACCTGCGTAGGACGACCACGCACGACATGAAACACTACGCGCTTGAGCCGCGTTCACTTATCGTGGTCACGTGATCGGCTGTCGCGGAACCAAACAGGCCTGCAGTGAAGTCATTATGAGTGTCTAGATATGGATACTTGATTTTCCTATTTGATATAAGACCACCATTTATTGTTATTATTATTAGATAAACAATTTATAGGTGGTGAATATGTAGGGCATGTTTGGTTCCACGGGACTAGAGACTATTTTTTAGTCCCTTTTAACTAAATAGAAAGGACTACTAGAGGGAATTTTAGTCTCTAGTTCACTAGTCCCTTAGAAGAGGTTTTTTAGAACTAATGGACCAACTTTACAGCCATTATCCCTCCCTCTCTCTTATCTCTCACCTCTATTCAAAGGAAGAAGAAGAATATTTTAGTTTTGTTCAGTCCTTTAGTCTTTTTTAACCCCTAAAATCAAACGTGTTATTTAGTTTCTCTTTTAGTTTTTTTTTAAGTGTCTAGTCTCTGGTGCCTGCAACCTGGGCCTTACTCTACGACGTCTTATCCAATCCACACTGCCATCCTGGTCCGTCCGATCATCCAGAGGAGAGAGAAAAGATAAGCGAAGGGTGGTGCAGTGCATGAGCAGGCGGCCGGGTAGACTGGGAGAGTTGACCGGAAAGTCCTTGGGTTTCCGCGTCCCGGCCTCACCTCACTCAGCACACCACCCGCTCTCACGGGCCCCACTGGGCCCCCACACGCTTTGAAAACTCTCGTCTCGCTTTCTAATTCCACACCGGCCCTGCCTGCCTGCCGTGCTCGCTCGCTCGCTCGCTCTAGTCCCTCCCTCCGACTCCGAGACTCCGAGTCCTCTCCCCTCCCTCAACCCGCAGCTTCGTCGTCACCCCGCCGGCGCTCTCCTCCATCTCCTGGTCCGCCCGGCTACAGGTTCCCTCCAAGGCGCGGGAAGCAGCTGCCGGTGAGCACCCATGGAACCCGTCCCTCCCTCACTCTCGTCCTCTCATCTTTTTCTTTTCTTGCGGTTTAATTATTATCGTTCTTGCAAAATTTGCCATGGTCCGGACGTCCGGTACGATCTTGCATTCTCTGGTCTGGGCGAGGGTTATTAAATTCGAGAGGACCTGCCTGTCGTGGTGGGCTGGTGGCAAGGAAAGCGATCGATTTTGTGTTTTTCGCAAAGTACTGTGCTGGAATTTGGGAGAGAAACCCCGTGCATGGTGTTCGTTCCAGCGGGTTTGGCCCCGTTCGCTGGGCTGAATTTGGCCGGAAAACTCTATTCCGGTTGAATTGCTGCGAGGGAAAAACACCGTTCCGACTTAAAAAAAAAAAGAAGCCGAAGGAGGAAGGGTTTGCGACAATCAAAAGGTGCTTTTTTTAAAGAACGACCCAGCGTGTGAAATCAGAGAGAGAGACGGAGGAGCATGTGCTCTTATGGTGCCCGCTTTCGGGAGATCTTTTTCCTTAGATTTTTTTTTCTTCTGAAAAGTTGTGCCCCTTTTTGCGGTTGGAGCCGTTTATGTTGGGCATGAGAGATCAATCAAGAGACTAAATTAGAAACCCTTTTGACAGTTTTTATAATACGTAGAGTCGAGGATTTGTTGATGATCTGCGTCTCGTTTTTTTTTTTTTTTTTTTTGCTTTCCATGCATATGGCTGCACTTCTTCTTTGTTGCAAAAACCTTAACAAAAGTTGCCATCTCGTGTTATTTGCTTGCCTCTAGTGGGGATCGGTTATTTAACTTACGTTGCCTGTATGTGGTTCACATTATTTGGCGTTGTCGATATCACGTTTGAATCGAATTTTGCATTTTAGGTAGTGGAAGAGAGAAGTTGCATAGCGACTTTCAGGTCCCCATATGGTTGCTGTCACCATTTACCGATTAGTATATGTCTCGTTTATTTTATTTTATTTTTTGAAAGTCCAGCGTCTCTAATCCTGTGCGTTCGAATTTGATTTTGTGTAGGTGAAGCTTGAATCGAGAAGTGGTGTTAACATCATCAGGGAGAAGTTGGATTAGTCCGCCAAAGTGCCCGATGACAGATCATTTTGCTCTAGGTCTAGGTGCTCTTCTTCTGTTGCTGCTAAGTACCAGTTGTTTCAGTTCTGAGCTTGATGTCCAATGCTTGAGAGACGTTCAGAAATCAGTGATTGATCCAAATGGTATACTCAAGTCGTCATGGATTTTTGATAATGGCACTGCGGGTTTCATATGCAAATTTACTGGTGTGGAGTGCTGGCACCCAGATGAGAATCGAGTTCTTGCATTGCGTCTCAGCAACCTTGGTCTTCAAGGTCCATTCCTAAAGGTCTTAAGAATTGTACCAGTATGACTGGGCTGGATCTGTCAAGTAACAACTTTACAGGCGCCATCCCTTCAGACATCGAGCAGCAAGTGCCATATTTGACATCTCTGGACCTCTCCTATAATGGTTTCTCAGGAGGAATTCCAATACTTATTTATAACATTACATACCTAAACACCCTTAATCTTCAACATAACCAATTGAGTGGTGAAATCCTGGGCAGCTCAGCGCCCTTGCTCGGTTACAAGTGTTCAATGTTGCTGACAACCGACTATCAGGGACTATTCCAAGTTCTCTACGGAACTTCTCGGTATCAAACTTTGCTGGTAATGAAGGACTGTGTGGGCCTCCATTAGGTGACTGCCAAGCTTCAGCAAAGAGCAAGAGCACTGCAGCAATCATCGGGGCTGTTATTGGAGTGGTAGTTGTCGTCATTATTGGTGCAATAGTTGTGTTCTTTTGCCTGCGGAGGATACCAGCCAAGAAGAAGGCAAAGGATGAGGATGATAATAAGTGGGCAAAGAGTATCAAAGGAACAAAAACTATCAAGGCAAGTCATTAACTTATCATTTGATTTTTCTTTTTCTTAGGCAAATAGGCACGAATTGCAATTTCAAGTAACCTTTCGCACAAAAAGTAATCTGAGACTTATCTCTGACATGATTATTTCCATTATCCAGGTATCTATATTTGAGAATCCAGTTTCAAAGATGAAACTAAGTGATCTCATGAAAGCCACAAACCAATTCAGCAAAGAGAACATCATTGGTACTGGGAGGACAGGAACTATGTACAAGGCAGTGCTACCTGACGGTTCCTTCCTAGCTGTGAAAAGGCTACAAGACTCGCAACACTCTGAATCACAGTTCACATCGGAGATGAAGACACTTGGCCAAGTGAGGCACCGGAACTTGGTTCCACTCTTGGGATTCTGCATTGCCAAGAAGGAGAAGTTGCTGGTGTACAAGCACATGCCCAAGGGCTCACTCTATGATCAGTTAAATCAAGAGGAAGGTACTAAGATGGATTGGCCGTTGAGGTTACGAATCGGCATTGGTGCAGCAAAAGGGCTTGCATATCTCCACCATACCTGCAATCCTCGAGTTCTTCACCGCAACATCAGCTCCAAATGCATCCTCTTGGATGAGGATTTCGAACCAAAGATATCGGACTTTGGCCTTGCTAGGCTCATGAACCCAATAGACACCCATCTCAGCACCTTTGTCAATGGGGAATTCGGAGACCTCGGTTACGTGGCACCAGAGTATGCGCGTACTCTGATGGCCACGCCGAAGGGCGATGTCTACAGCTTCGGTGTGGTTCTCCTTGAGCTCGTCACCGGCGAGAAGCCTACCCACGTTTCCTCGGCCCCGGAGAATTTCAGAGGGAGCCTAGTGGAATGGATCAATTATCTGTCCAACAACGCACTTCTCCAAGATGCTATCGATAAGTCGCTGGTAGGGAAGGACGCTGATGGTGAGCTGATGCAGTTCCTGAAAGTTGCGTGTTCCTGCACGCTTGCCACCCCGAAGGAGAGACCAACCATGTTTGAGGTTTACCAGCTCGTTAGAGCCATTGGGGAAAGGTACCATTTCACTGCCGATGATGACCTGGTGCTGCCACCTCTTAGCACAGACGGTGACGGTGTAACCCTCGACGAACTCATTGTTGCCAAGTAATTGCAAAATTCATATGTCGCAGAAGACAAAACAAGACTGAATGTCTCCTTTTTTTCCCCCTCCAAGGGAGTCAGTAATGGTGAAGTGAGTAAGATGGCTTATATAAAAGATGTATGTACCAATTAGTAGCAGCATAATACTGCATTCGCTGTATAGTTGTTGTAGCTTGGTTGTTACCCACCCTTTGGAGATGATAGTAGCTGTAAAGGATAATTTTCATGTAACCAATTTGGGGACGAGGTAGTTGTTACTTGTAAGTTTGTTACCCTTGTGTCATGGGGTTTCACTGCCATTATACATCTGGCTCTTTGGTAAAGCCATTTCACATTACTTCACTTGTACGTTTTTTTTTTTTTTTTTTTGCGAAATACTACACTTGTACGTTGTCGTAGGTAGTACCAGATATTTGGCACTTGGCAGCTCACGGTAAGAAAGATTCTTGCACTGTTCCCTACACCTGGCTGCATAGGCATCTTGCAAGCAGAGGTCAGTGTTTTGTGAAGAGCACTTTACCGGTTGGAAACTATTCTCTGGTCCAAAAAGCCCGATCCTGCGTGCACGGCAGGTAGTCAAATGATTTGACTCTGACCATTGATTTATCAGGTAGTACCAGTGCGTTCAGAAGAAAAAATGACAGAGACATAATTGTTATGAGCATTTTGTATTGTTACGTGGTATCATACGAGCACACTTAGGTTGTGTTTAGTTCACGAATTTTGGGAATTTGGCTACTGTAGCACTTTCGTTTTTATTTGGTAATTAGTGTTTAATCATAGACTAATTAGGCTCAAAACGTTCGTCTCACAATTTCCAACCAAACTGTGTAATTAGTTTTTTTTTGTCTATATTTAATGCTCCATACACGTATCGCAAGATTCGATGTGATGGCTATTGTAAAACTTTTTGAGAAAGTTTTTAGGAACTAAACAAGCACTTACATGTAGTACAACCATTTGAGTACAGCTTGCTTGAGTATTGCTCAAGATCCAATAACGTTATATGAATGGAAGCTCATACATTAAATAGTTTGGATATATGGTTATACTTGAATTGTACAAATAATCATACTAGCTCAAAGTGTTTCCCTACCCATACTGGATTTTTTTAACATGTTTTTAACTATTTCCAAATCTAACACTGATTTTTTTTATTTTCAAATCTAACACTTTTGGCCGCGCCTATTGTCACGGCGCGGCCAAACAACGCTGCCGCAACATGCATGGCGGCGCAGCAGCGACGATGACGTGGCACTTCCTCGGGCCTGGCACGACGGCGGTGCCTGCTGCTTGCACATAAATCTTGGCGCGGCAGTACCACGCCACGGCCCACGGCGCGGCGAAGCCCACTACAAGACCGTGGACTGGCCTCCCTCCCCTCACTGTCTCTCTTTCACTCCAATGAAACGGATGGAGGGGGAGACGCGGCCGCCGCCGGCGCCGTCAAGGCCACCACCCGTGCCTCCCCCCCCCCCCCCCCGACCACCCGCCTCCCTCTCTCCCTCACTCCCCATTCCTCCCTCTCTAGGCCGCTCCAGGAGCCGTGCTCGTCGCCGGCGCAGTGGCCCCTTTCCCACCGCCGGCCGGCCTCTCTTCCCATCGTCTCCTTCACCTGCGCCCCCCTGTCCCTTCCTTGGCCGGCCAGCGGTGTGCCGCACCCCTCTCCTACTCCCAAAAGAAGCCCGCCGGCGGCGGCCACCTCGTCGCCATTGGTGGATTTGGCTAAGCCCCAATCTTCCCCTCGTTGTCAAGGTACTCCCCTTGTGTATTTATTGATTGAATCGAAATTGTTACTTAGGGTTAAGATGCAAAATTAGTTTGAATGATTAGTTAGTATAGTTAGTATAGTAAGTTAGTATAGTTAGTAAAGTTAGTATAGTTAGTAAAGTTAGTATAGGTAGTATAGTAAGTTAGTAAAGTTAGTTAGTTTAGTTAGTACAGTTAGTGAGTCTAGTTAGTTATTGTATTTAGTATAATTAGTTATTGTAGTTAGTCTTGTATAGGTGTTAATATTATATTAGTTTGTATAGTTATAGTTAGTATAGGTATTAATATTACTATAAACAGTACGTACGACGATTAAGATGACTTGATGAAGTTTCCTCAATTGCTTTTGTAGATGAATTGTTGTGTTAGAGTTTTTTACAGAGGAAGTGTTATAAAAGAAGATGGTATATTTGAGGATATGGAAGAAGAATTGGAATGGTTTGATGAACCTCCTAGCTTCAACGACCTTTGTATCCGTTTGAATGCAAAGTTTGGTGGTGATTTCACAGTGAAGGGGAGGTTTGATAGTGGGAAGACTAGGGCACGCTATGTCCTGATGCCCTTGCACGACCCTGCTCACTGGTCCCGCTACAATAGGGTGCTCCAAGGTTCTAATGTGCCCATGGTGAGGTGGTGGTGGTGGAGAATGGGTATAGGATGCAAGGTTTCCATGACGGGTCGTCCGTTGATAGTGTTGGAGGCAATGAACAAAAATTGGGGGTCGAAGGGAACCAACTTAGGTAACATGGATTTAGATGGTCATTGACGCAGGAGCAGTTTCATTCAACTCCAAAGAGGTCAGCATAAACAATGACTTGATGTGAACGAGTTCAAATGGGAAGAGAAGGAGCAGGAGGAGGACAGGATCGATGATGTAGTTAGCGATGATTCGAGATTTATTCGGATGATGACCAAGGAGGTAGAGATGCTATGCCAACATCGGTTGATGCCATGCCAGTACCGGTTCATGTTATGCCATTACAAGTACCAACTGAGGTACTTCATGCTATGCCGGCTCAAGGTAGACTAGTCATAGATTTGTCAGAGGATGATACCCCCTATGATTCATGGGGTAGGATTAGCGAAGCACAGCAGTACGTTCCACCACCACCTTACACAGCGACAGAGCTTATGCAGCTGAGGTCGATGAACGTACCCTTCAATGGCGTTCTGAACTATAGGGATGTCAGCATGATGGATATGGCAGTTTGTGACACCGGTCTGCAGATGTGTAGGAAATCATTGTATGACCATAAGAATGTAATCCTTGAGAAGGGGATGATATTCAATACAATGTCAGAGATGAAGTTGTTCCTTCAGGACTATGATGTCTAACATCATAGGCTCTACAACGTCACTCATTTTGACAAGGAGTTGAGGTACCACGTGACATGCAAAAATGGTTGTATGTGGAGGTTAAATGCACGAAAGAGACAGAGTGATGGCAAGTGGAGGATAAGTAAAGTGGTCCAACCCCACACTTGCCTATCAAATAAGGGGAAGGAAAATTATCAGCAGCTCACTGCACGTTACCTTGCCCGTCATATATTGGGGCTCGTCATAACAATAACAACATTTCGGTGTCTTCCTTGCAAGAGTCCATATCCGGATTCGTTAAGTATGATGTGAAGTATGGAAAGGCTTGGCGTGCTAAGCAAATTGCCCTGACGATTCGTTGGGGTAGCTGGGAGGAAGCGTACAACAAGGTACCTATTGGTATTTATTAACTTGTCACTTGTTTTAATAGCCACCTATTATAAACCTATATCTCCTAACATTACTTTACTAGGTTGTCATCCCTAGTGATGTTGCTAGAGATACTTGTTGGTACTACCTAGCATTACTACTAGAATAATACAAAATAGTTCTTTATTAATTTATGTGATTAGGAGGAATATATAGATATGAATAAAAAGGAATCTGCAATCGCACAGATAATTATATCATTGTAGCACTTCACCCGAGAGTATTCCATGTATCGTTATTTATATTTTTACCACAGGGAAGGTCTAGCATGGACAAGTATTGATAACTTATACTATTGATGGAGAAGTAAACCATAACCAATATTCTACTCAAAACAGGGATAAGTCATAGGATAAGATATATATGATAAGTATTGATCAATGATAATGATAAATCACTCAGAGTACTCCTTTCTATGGCATTAGCATGGTCAGGTAGAATATTTGAGGAATAATTCCTAAGTCATTCTTAATTATAAGTCAAAGCATACATTGATTAGTGCAATTACACCTAATAGTCATTGCTGAGATATTCTTCATATCTACACATAAGGGATATTACTAAGAAAGATTAAGAACAGAGCTTGTCCCCCTTCGTAACCAGATCCTACGTGTTACCTACATCGGGGAGTGGACTACAAAGGACTCAACGGGAGTGTCACGTCCGCATTCTACCACATGACCCGGAATATAGGGTGTATCCATAGGTAAACAACGTATAAGCACCCCGCTTACACAATGTCGACCACCCACCCATGGATCCTTAGGTTGAGCGCTATACAAACATATGCATGAATATGATGATAATCCAACTATACTAGGTATATAATCAAAGTAGATGATGAACATTATAACGAAGAATATGAATAAGATAACTACTAATATTGTCATAACAATTGTAGCAAGCATATAAAAATAATGGAGATACAAAAGAGAGGGGTATAAAGATTATATCAAGCCACGCTCTTGACACGATCGGAATCCAAGTGAAGCCTGCTTGCCTCCCTCTGGACCTAGCCTAACTAGCTATGCCCTAGAATATAATGGAGCTATGAGGATGATTAGAGTTTCTATCTTCTCAAATGACTTGATGCCTTAAGGGGGGCAGGGGCTGATATATATAGGTCGGAGCGTCCAACGTGAGCCCTTGGATCAAACCGACTTAAGGAACGGCGTAGATGCAACCTAGGAGGCGATAGAGAACCAACATTGCAACACGGAGGCTAATAGGTGGGCCTAGAGGCTAGGCGGCCCCACCTGGCAGCCCCTCGCTCTCTGCCTCAACATGGTGTCCTCTACTGTCCTCTAGAACCTTCTAGTGTCCGTTTCACGGTGGATAAGCGCAAGTAAATCTGACATGTAGGTCCACCTTGACGTTTTTCTGGATAAATCCTGCAGAAATCACAGATTCACCAAAACTCATAGAATTTATTAGTTTAAACCCCTAGACCTTTGTTGATGATCTCAATTGTGCCCTTATGCATGTTTTATT